ATCATTAAAAAACACAAAATGCATTCTCTTGTTTCATATTTACTGGGATATAGAGTTTTTGAGTTGATTTATTAAGTTAATTTATTTTTTTATTCCTTAAATTCACTACACCTTGATACAGTCTGTAGTTACTATGATATAACAGTCTATAAAAATTATACAAATAAATTGTTGAGAGGCTTTATCATTCTATTCACTAAAATTTTCAGGGTACAAAGGGTGGTATATTAAGTTGTTACTGTTAGATTTATTTAGGTGACAAATTAATTAGCTGATTGTGGAACTCTCAGCAACATTTCATGTATTAACATAGACAACATTTATTGGAAGCATATTCTATATTATATAAGATTGAGGGACATATTTTCAGCTTTCTTTTAATAAAAATCAAGTATATTTTCCTATTTTATATCAGGTGACTAAATTATGCTAGTTGCGTGGGAAAAATTGCAGATACTTTGACAGATGACAATGCTTGTGGTGCTCCATCTGATCAAAGTTGAAAACAGTTGATTTTTTTTAACAAGATGTATCATTTTCTCTGATTTCAATGAAATAACGGTGTAATGTTAGGTTGAACTTTCTGCTTGGCTAAATCAAAGAAGAAAATCACAGTTACCTGGTTAGTTGTACCTTTTGTCATCTGAACTTTCTTGTAGTTTCTACCTAACTAAGCTGACAGAGGAATAGTTTTGATTTGAATTATGCTTAAAACTGAAGACTACATCTTATTCTCAGTGTTCCAGACAAATGAGTCAAATGTAATTCTAGTGAGGTCCAAAATAGAAATTAGTTGGGCAAAGATGATAACTATGAATGAAAAACTATTTTAAACATAAAATGTTCTGCTTTGTGAATATGTAAGTATAGTATAAAGATTTCTCTCATCCTGTTTTATCCCCTTCCTTTAAAATAAACCATAGTTTACAATTGGTAGATCTGTCTATATATAAATATATATTAAAGAGCAAAGATATATATCTAAAAAATCACCTAAATCTGCTTTATTAGACTATAGTTCACTTATTGCATAGAAACTGGACTTGGCTTTATTACATTCTTAATGTACTTTGCTTTTCTTCAAGATAATGAGCTTATTCTCTTGAAACTGAATTTTCTTTTATTACTTAAATCATATTTGTATATCTGGTAAATTATGACCAAATTTTTGTTAGGTTGCATACAGTAAATTGAAATACACTCTTGGTACACTACGGGATTGTTGTGCTTTTGTTTTGGTTTTAGTTGGAAATAAGGTTTGATGTAGATGGCTTGTTACTGTTAATTTAAAATATTCTATAATTGTCCATTAATTTTTAATGTTGTATTGTGACAGATTTGGCTATATTTTTTAGTCATCTGACATATGATATTTTAAAAGTTTGTTTTTAGGTAATCCAAAGGAAGAAATGTTTATACTCTTGACTATATTAGCCTCAGCCTATATAAAAATTTCTTTGAAGTAAACATTTTACCAGAAGCAGAATTGACAGATTTTTCTACTTGCTGACTGCCTAACTTATTTTGTTTCATGATCTCGAGGGACTGCCTATTTCCCTTTAGATCTTTTTTTAAAAAATAGTTTTAGTACTAAGGTATACTACTGGATGTTTCTATTTTTTTAAGTATATTCTTTTTTCTGACTTAAAGTACAACAGTTTCAGGAAGTTGATAGATATTATTAAGGACTTATGATTGGTCTCAGAGGTATCGGTGGAATGAGTTACTCATAATTTTGTCTGTGAAACTGGCAGAATTGTGTGTTACACATTTGGTAAAGTTTTCTCTTGTAATTTATATTTTGAGTGAAAAATATTTTAGAGCTTTTAATTTTAATTAAGGCTAAGTTTATAAACTTTCACATTCACTCTGTAGTAACTGACCCTTTCGTAAACCAAGATCATACTATTTTTTTAGGATTCTCGAGACAGTTACTTCCATATGGTTCCTGCTTTGTTCTTGGCCCTCATCTTTCTCACTAGATAATTTGCTAAATTTTAGCATCCTAGCAATATGAGAGTTTATTTAAAAACAAACAAACATTATATCAGAAGGGGAACCTGGATATGTAGCTTTGAAAATTTTTTTTGCGGGGAGATGCTAGCTGATTTAAATGGAGCCATCCTGATGGAGAAGAGTGCGCTGAATGAGTTAATTGATAGAAAGTTCTTAGAACACTGGTACATCCTAGGTATATCATACATTTTAGTTCTTTAATGACAAATGTGAACCAAGAGGAAAAGAAATGAGAAGATAGTGGAAATCAGGAAGAAAATAGGAAATGGACTTGGAACATGTATCAATACAAATATAATAATAAAAACTAAAGATGACTGGAATAGTGTATCATGAAGAAAATCTGAAAAACCAGGGTTTTTTTTAATGTTGAAACTTTAAAATTCAAAAGCATTTTTTATGATTTCCTGAACTGAGCACGAAAGGTTTCAGATTCATTTTTCTGAGTAAACAATTCCAGAAGCTACCGATGCTTTTTGAGTGCCCACACTTGCCATTGTGCTGTATGCATTATTTCACCCTTCTGATGTAGGTGCTATTTTCTCCATTTTATAGATGAAGAGAGGCTCAGATTCAGAATTTTGCCTAATTTCATGCAGCTGTAATAGAGCTGAGATTTAGTTAGGTCTGATTCTGAAGCTCATGATTTCTACGAGGCTCTCTTGCTGCCTCATTAAACAACTTTTTGTTTTTTTTTTGTTTGTTTTTTTTTGTAGAATTGTAACTCTTTAGAGGAGTCTGTCTACGGAGATTTATATTGACCCTATAAAATAGCTATGTTTTGTCATTTGGTCTTAACTAAGACACATAACCCCAGTGTAGCTTATGCTATTAGTGGGTTAATGGCATTTTCATTTTTAAAAAGATGATTTTTTTTAAACTGAAGGACTAGATATGAACCCCCCCAGTTTTTGTGGTGTTCAGTCACCCGGATCCTTAAACTTATATGGTACATAATATACACTCTTAGAAATAACAAACAGGCATTTTCTTATAATTACATTAGGATTTTTTTTTTTTTAACATTAGGATTTAAAGTGGAAAGTGGTTTTGTTTTTTTACAGCTGTATCCTGCTTTCTCCCCGCCCCCCCAGGGAATGGGTACTGGGGATCGAACTTGGATTTGGGTCCTTATGCTTGCAAGGCAGGCGGCAGCACCACTGAGCTAAATCCCTGGCCCTGTATCCCTGCTTTCAACTGAAGTTCAACACTTCTCAGAAATTCAGAATTCATTAAGGATAAGCACACTTTAAAAGATGCTTTTCTAACCCCGAATTTTATGACATCTGTTGAGAACAAAATTTTGGGTTAAGGAGAGAGGTGGTTGAGGCCATTGTGAAATGGGAAAATCAGCATTTTAAACACTGTAAACATAAAAACATTTTTTTTTTCCCTGCCTGCTGTTTGTAAAAGCTCTCTGGGAGGATCTTTTACGAAGACCAATTTTTTAAATGTAATTTACCTACCTAATATAAGTGTCCTAAGACATGTATGTAAATTTCCAAAACTGTTCTGTCTGTGTATTTAGAAAATACACAAGAATCTTTATCAAACCTAAAAATATAAACTTGTGAGCACTAAACTGCTTCTGGCTTTGTGAATTTTATTGACTGACATTTAATTCAGATTTGTTTGCAAGTGTACTAATTTGGACTAATTGAGGTGGGGGATCACCTTTGTAAAATTTGATTTATGTATAATTAAGATATCTTTGTACTTAACAAGTTTGAATTGTAGAGTATTGTGAGGGGTTTTGTTTATGTTTTTATATGAAAGTGCATAAATGACTCAGACTACCTCCTGGTACTCCTTAGAGAGCTACTTTACTAAATAGGTGAACAGTGATTATATTCAGTCTGTTAGACTTTCAGGATTTCCTGGCAGGCATGTCCAGCTTGTGACTCACTTTTTTGCCTCTCCCCCATGTTACAAAAAAATAAAAAGGAAGATTTGTTATTTATATATTAACTGTATTATATTTTATATGCAAATCATGACAGTTCCTCTTTACTCAAAAGACAAGGTGAAAAAGGCAGGTCACACACAGCTGTACACACCTCACAGGTTTTAGGAAAGAAACATCTAAAAAGCAATTCCCCTCATTATACTTATGCATAATTTACAGTAGTACATAATCTTGAGGAAATGGGTTGAAAATCAAAGGTAAACTGCTACCCCATGTTTACTGTATATTGGATTAGTAGATTATAAGCAAATTTTAAGTTAGAACTTTATTACAGTGGTTGAGACAAATTCTCACTGTAGTTGAGGCTGGCCTTAATATGTATCCCAGGCTGTCTTCCAACTTGTGATCCTCTCGTCTCAGCCTCCCAAGCCTCCTGGGATTACAAGTGTGCACTACAATTCCTGGCTTGTTTTTTTGTAATAGACAAAAGGAAATTGTAGAATGGCCAAGTAAATAGACTCATGTGGCTATTTTGTTTTTTTGCCTTTTTTTTTTTTTTTTGAGACAGGGTCTCACTTTGTAATGCAGGCTGGTGTTGAAACTCCCAGGCTGGCCTGGAATTCCCAGCGATCCTCAGCCTCCCTAATGCTGGGATTGCAGGTGTGTGCCACCACACTGGGCTCCTCACATAGCCATTTAACATATAAAGAAGTTCTGTGGGGGAGAAGGGTTAAGATAACATTCCGTGTCATTCCAGGAGGTAATGATTAGGACCACTTGGCTCAATATTAAAAAGCAGTTATCAGTTATCCAAAGAAAATAGGATTGCTTGAAAAAAAAAATGCTATCAATTGTAACTTTCTGGGTAAAAGATCACCTCAGCCATTTTGGCTAAGGCAATATTAA